AAAATACATTCAGTTGTCCGGAACTCAACTGCAGGCGCAAGCGTGGTTGAAGAGTCACTCGCAGAAGTTGCCTGAGAGAGCAAGAAAAACGAAGCGCATATAAGGGCCCTGAAAACGCGTTTAGAATTTGTCCGGGCTTGGCCTCGGCTGGTACATACATAACATACAAACATCCATCGTGAGAACATAGTCAAGTAGCTGCTTGTGGCTTGTGGGAGTGTCATAAGCTTGAACCGGTTTGAGTGGGCTCTAGGACGGAACATGCTCAAGCTCGATGGGTAAGAATACGGAGGAATCAAGCTTCCGCCGCCTATCGATTTGACATGATAATTTACAGGCGAGGTGGGATAGTTGTCAGGCTAGAAAGTCAAGCGACCGTGAAAGTCGTGAAAGCGAGACCACGTCTTGTTGCGCAACTATTTTACAACGTCAGATACGGGGGTAGCCTAGAAGCCTCACAGTTTTTGCCTGTGAATCAGGTGCGTGAACCACACACATGGAATAACAGCCCATCCGCCGCTAAAACAAAGTGAGTGTGAGTTGCACGTGTGTTTTTCTTGTGCGCCTTGAGTGGATAATAGGCCTCGGTGTCGCGCATTTGCTAGGCGGCGCTCTGGCATCGCCTGTTTGTAACCGACGTTCAATAATGATACATTACATTACATTACATTACAGTACAGTACAGTACAGTACAGTACAGTACATTGCATTACATTACATTACATGACACACATACACACATACACACATACACACATACCTACCTACATTACATACATACACGCATATATGCAAATATGCATGCATACATACATTCCACTACATCAAAGCACATCGCGTCAAATTAGCTGACCTTACGTTGCGTTACAATACATAACACTCATTGCACACATACATACACACATACTGGTCGCTTTTTCCATGTCTTTGAAAGTCTCTGTCCGTCAGGGTTTCAACTGGTTCCTTTTTCCACGTCGTTAAAGTTCTCTGTCCGTTACCCCTCTCAACACTTGGTTTTTGCATGTTTTTGAACGTCTCTGTCCGTCACGGTTCTTACTGGTCGCCTTTTCCACGTCGTTAAAGTTCTCTGTCCCTCGCGGTTCTCAACAGTCGCTTTCTCCATGCCTTTGAAAGTCTCTGTTACGGTTCTTACTGGCGTCGTTAAAGTTCTCTGTCCATCACGGTTCTGAACGGTCGCGTGTTCCATGTCTTTGAAAGTCTCTGTCCTTCACGGTTCGTATTATTGGTTGCTTTTTCGACGTCGTTAAAGCTCTCTGTCCGTCACGGTTATCAACGGTCGCGTGTTCCATGTCTTTGAAAGTCTCTGTCCGTCACGGTTCTTACTGGTCGCCTTTTCCACGTCGTTAAAGTTCTCTGCATGTCACGGTTATCAACGGTCGCTTTTTCCATGTCTTTGCAAGTCTTTGGCCGTCAAGGTTCCTAACATTGGTTGCTTTTTGCACGTCGTTAAAGTTCTCTGCATGTCACGGTTATCAACGGTCGCTTTTTCCATGTCTTTGCAAGTCTTTGGCCGTCAAGGTTCCTAACATTGGTTGCTTTTTGCACGTCGTTAAAGTTCTCTGTCCCTCGCGGTTCTCAACAGTCGCCATGTGTTTGCAAATCTCTGTCCCTAGCGGTTCTTACTGGTCGCTTTTCCACGTCGTTAAAGTTCTTTGTCCGTCACGGTTACCAACGGTCGCGTGTTCCATGTCTTTGAAAGTCTCTGTCCTTCACGGTTCGTATTATTGGTTGCTTTTTCGACGTCGTTAAAGCTCTTTGTCCGTCACGGTTCTCAACGGTCGTTTTTCCCATGTCTTTGAACATCTCTGTTCTTGCCGGTCGTTTTTTCCACGTCGTTGAAGATCTCTGTCCCTATTGTGTTGGTTGTTGCATTGTTGCTCGTGTTGTGTTTGTGTTGTTTGTTGTTAGTTTGTTGCTTGTTGTTATTTGCTGGTTACTGTTTTTTCTGTTAATGCTTAATTTTCTAATGTATTACTGGTAGCACATCATTGATTGCCGTAGCTGGTCGAACTTGATTTTTTCTCCATTTTTGTCGGTGTTTGTCGGTTTTTGTCGGTTTTTGTCGGTTCTGTCGGTTTCTGTCGTTTGTTTCTGTGTTTTTTTCTCCTGGGGGGCCTTACGATCTGTTCACCTACGATCTGTTCACCAAACATATTTTAGTGAAGCCAGGCTCTAAGACGTGCAGAACTCTGGCAATGCACGACTACGGCAAGGGTGTGGGCCGGCCGTCCTTCTAGCTCTCCTAGCAACGAGTCCGGAATTGGCCTATGTGACCTACAAAGGGCACGTGACTGTGGAGCATCTACGGCATGCTTCAAGCATGAAGCATGGAGAAGCTGGCGGTGCCTTGGGAAGATGCTCTACATGATGGACTTGGAACTGAACGAGAAGATGGAGGTGAAGATGCGGAAGCTCCTGATGTCCTGGAAATGGTGGTGAAGCTGGCGCTGTTCCAAAAGAAGGGCCGCTTGGTGGGTTTTGCAGAACCTGGACGGCCTCTTCCTGAAGTTCTACCTCAACTGGTGGTGTTTCCCTTTGCGTATCCTGTGGGGGTAGGCCTCCTGCCGGGACGTCAGGGATTGCTCCACCGAGCGGCTCGTCTATGCGGAGGAGTTCAATGAGGACTGTGGCTTCAGACAAGGGCAAGGTACGAGCAGCAGACGAGCAGGTCGCAATCAGTGCGGAATCAGTGCCTGTGAGCGGACAGTGTATGGGGAGTCAGCGCAGAACTACCTGTACGCGGTCGGACAATGGACGCCTCGGGAAGGCGCTCGCTGTCTGAAGGACATCTGGCGCGAGAGGAAGCGACGGAGCCACCGCTGAAGAAGGTCTCTGCGTCTTGGCGACAAGGGGTCCGAGGTCTTGGCCGCTAGCGAGCTTGCAAGCAGTGGTGCGACGGGCATGGAGATTGCCTGAAGTAGGATAAGCCCGGAGATGCGCGAGTCAGCGCTGGACCAGCGGCCGAAGTGGACTGACAACGATGCCGTCGAGGTTCTCAGTTTTGATGAGTCAAAGCGAGTTTTGCAGGACCTGCAGCGGAGAGACAAGACGAGTCAGGTTTTGCAACCGCGCTTTGTGCTGACGGACAAGAATGCATCACTGCGGACGAGCGGCAACGAAGTACCATTCAAGGCCTATGCGCGGTTGGTGGTTCCTGGATTCAAGGACTACTCCAATCTGGCGGGGGAGCTGCGACGTGACGCACCGACGGGCAGTCGAATTGCACAACACACGCGGATGCGTATGTTTCCAGAGCGCTGTGCATCAAAGGTGTGATACGCGCAGAGGCCCTGGTATTCCGATTCCTGGAGGGTGCTTAGCGCGTGTGCGAAAGGGGTTTTCTGACTTGCTGACGCACCGAGGGAATGGAATTTGCGGTTGAGCCGGACTCTGGCGGAAAATAAGTGGATCAAGTCTTCTTTGGACGGCGGATGCTGTTCGCTTATAGGGATGCTGGTCGGCCATGTGGATGATCTCTTGTTTACTGGCGATGAGACAGCTTTCGCATCGCTGGAAGCTATCGGCAAGGAGCTCGGATTTGGCAGCTTGGGGGACCGTGACTTTATCTGGCGTGGCAAGAGGATCAGGCGAGCTCAAGGAGGTTGCATTGTGGTGTCCATGGAGAACTACCACAAGAACCTACGGCTGACGGTGGTTCCTCGAAGTCGCCGATCATGCGTGTTTGACGGTTGAACAGCTGTGGAGCTCAAGCAACTGCGTGGCTTGCTTGGTTTGATAGAATGGTTGGTGGCGCAACTGAGGTTTGATATTGCATTTGAATTGAGTTAATTGCAAGTTGAGATCCCAACTGTTGGCACCCTGGTTCGTGCAAACAAGCTGCTTCACGATTGCAAAACAAGCTGGGATTTTGAGCTTCGGCTTTGCAATGTTGGATTTGAGCAGTGGTGGCCTCGTGATGTTCTCAGATGCAGCACTCGGCAACGTCAATGAAGCCGGTGCCGCAGAGGATGCGCCTATGCGTTCGCAGTCGTGCTTTGCCGTGCTTCTTGGGGACAGCGCGCTGGTTTCTGGCAAGAAGGGCGGTTTCAATGTGCTTGATTTCCGTTCGCGTCGCCTGCAGCGTGTGTGCCGCTCCTCATGCAGTGCAGAGACAATTGGCGTGGAAGAAGATTTTGATGCAGCGCAACTTGGCAGAGACCTTCTGAAGGGTACGGCGGCAGATTACGTGTGGTCATGCCATGTTCCGCTTGTGGGTGTGACAGATGCAAAGGACAGCTGTAACAGGCTGTCTACTGACACTGGTTTTGGGTCGCAGAAGTCGCTTTGCTTCACAATTGCAGCGTCGAGGCAATTGCTGAGACGGCGATGGCAACGACCGACATGTGGGTGGACGCGGGGACCAAGGCCATGACACAACTCAGCTTCGCGGAGTTTTGAGCCGGGGTGAGTGGTCAACTGAGTACAGTCCTGAGTTCATCAAGCAGACGGCCAAACACCTGAAAGGTGTTTCCGAGTTGCCAATCAGGACATGCCTGGCAGTTTTTCTAGCAGAAGAGCATGAATTGCTCCAGTTTTGCATGAAGCGTGGCAGAGCCCAGTTGGCATTTTGTTGACGGTGTGGGGGTTCACGTAGCTCAGAGTGTGAAGGCTTTCCGCTTTTCTTAGAAGGATACCCGTTGAGTACAAGTGCGGGGTACTTTTTAGCAAAGAACCGAGGCGAGTGGCGATTGCTCGAAGAGCATGTTGTTATGGCGGGCTGCTGAAGAACATGCCATTCTGCCCCACCTAGTGACATTCTTCACCGGGTCCAAGGCAACAAAGAATTTTGAAGGCGTGTGAAAGCCATTGGATTGCCTTGGGCATCTCAGACTGTTTGCATCTCGCCAATCGGTGGCAGGCGCAGCATTCTGTTTTCACAATCGGTGCCAAAATCAACCCCCTACTGGTTTCCACAACACTAGTTTCCTAGCAAGCAGCTGGGGCATGCTCAAACTTTCTCACCTTATGTGCACCCTGAGGGAGTACAACGACGATCCCAACTTCGTTGAATTTGCATGTTTGCTTGACGGCCCATCCGGTGATCACTGGATAAGGCCTGGCCTTGTGAATCATGGGGTGCGAAGCCAAACTGTAGGCAGTTCACTGTTGTGAGCCCATTGGCAGGTTGAAGATGACCATTGACGAGCCCGGTGCAGAACAGCAAACGTGCTTTTCGAGAATGGCTGCTCGGCGATACAGTTGGAGAACGTTGACTTCGCATGTTCGAGCCCTGCAGTAGGAGGGCTTGGTTGTGGCTGCGGTGTGGCTTTCGCCTGTCTTGGCTTTTGATTTTCGCGTTTGGCAACAGCTGTTCCTGCAAGCTCCACAGATCCATCTAAGGTGCCTCTCCGCATAGAGAACGCCATTGGGGACATTGCGCTCTCTGGCGATGGTGGTCCTGGTTCTTTGTATGTGCCTTGCTCGCCTTTCGCCTTTTGTGACGCCAGACAGACGCATTACGTCTCCGCTTGTGAGTTTGATCAGGACGAGGAGGTCGAAGGAGGGACGTACATAGACATCGACCTTCGCTGCCTGCCTACAATATGCTGGTTGTTTCCATATTCAACCTGCGTCTCCATCGTGCCTCTATTCTCACCAGGTTTTCTCTTGGATGCGTCCGTTGTGAATGCTTCTGATCTCAGCAACATCCCCTCATGCATCCACATCCATGCGAATTATTGGCAGGTGTCCCTGGCTCAGAGGCTCAGAGCGTTGATTCGCACCAATTGCAGGGCTGCAAAAGCCAGCTGTCAAGGTGTTCGATTAAGTTCACGTGGGTGGAGGCACCTTTCAACTTCCACCAGGCCATGGGAACCTGAACTTAATGTGCGATTCAGTTCAGTGCTTGGAATTTGGTCACGAAGCCGGCCCAGACTGTGTAAGGAATGACTGGGGCAGGTAACTTTGCCCACCCACTAGACACGGACTTCTATTCCCTGGTGCCTGTGCCCGCGCAGCATTGAATTTCAATTTGCTTTGGCTAAGGGTTGGAAACCATAAGCCCAGGTCAATAAGACTGGCACTACAAATGATGCTGGCTTTGACGCTGTGACGGGGACACTGCACTTGCGCATGCACTTCAAGCAGCTGCCTGGCTTGGACGTGGCGATTTGATCCAAATCCCGGTGGCTTCTTGACTGCCCAAGGCGAGGGCTGTATGGCAACTTCGGCATTCAGCACCTCGACTGGGATAGTCGGGTAGCTGATGGAAGCACTGCCCGCTGCACCGACAGGTTCCACGGCTTCGGCGTGAACAGCCGGATTTTCACTTGGAGGCGTGGGGTGGCCTGAGAAACACCATGGCATATCCGCCCTGCCAGGATACTGCCACCTCCTGGGCTGCGCTTTGAAGTTGTGCAGGACCTTCAGCGCAGTTTGCGGCACGCGGCGTTTGTGTCATAGCAATCGAGGAGCCAGCATTCCTGTACACTCGCGCACTCCCGGGCAACTCAGACTGGTAAGCTGTTGGTAGGGTGCATTGCCAAGCAGCCGTGTTGGCTCCGCACAACTTCCGTTGATAGATGTTTCCCCCCAGCGTGCGTTTAGATTAACACTCGCGTAATTATGATTGGACTTGCCAACGTGTTCCAGGCCAGGGCTGCAGCTGAGGCATGATGAACAAGTTAAGTTCTTTGGACGACATGTTTAATAGTGACCACCTAACATCAGAAAAGCCATGAGCTTGCTGTGGTCAACGCGTCTTGAACGGCACCTTTTCTTTTCACTGTTGCTACCTCGTGGGCTGGCAACGCAGGAGATAGCCAGCGTTGCAAATTGGGCCGTGCCTTTTGGAAGAGCCAAGGCAACAGCTTTGATGTGCTTCCCAAAGTCCGCGTGCTGAGCGACTTGGGCCCTGTGAACGGCTGCTTGGCTGTACTCGGCGCTGGCCTCCAGTGTTTCCAGTCTGAGCCAGAGAGGTCTAGTCATTGCGACGGAATTGGTCGAAGAGCCGGGGGCCAGATTTGAGAGTCTTGGCAATCACCCCACTGCGTGCAGCCCAAGAAGTTGACCGAGCACGTTTGGCAGCGACACCAAGGAAATTCACAAACCTGAAAATGTATGATGCGTTCGACTTCGTCTACTCGCGGCCATCTGGGACATCGGTGAATACCTTGAGCGGACAGAGTGCCATGCTTGGATAATTGCACACCTTGTCATTGGCTGTGAGTTAGTTGGCAGGCGGTAGCTGCATGTTTCATTGCTGGTAGGTCAGGGCCCGGCGGAAGATGGCCTGGCCATGTGGCCGTTATTGGGCATCTTTGACGGATCTGGATGCACAAGACACTGGGCACGATTTCAGGATTGGTTTCCTCCTGCAACGATTTCGTTTTGCTTTTGCCAGGTGGGGGGACGGCTGAGGAATGCGATTCATTGCTGAGGGTGTGTCTTCAGAAGTGGTGCCAGCGACTCCGGTTTGCTTCGAAGATCCCTTTGTCTTCACCATGGTGACACCGCCCCCGTGACCGAGCTGAACTGGCTAATGTTTGTTGGCTAATTGTGTTGGGATCTTGTGTGAGCGAGTTGCTCAAGATGAGAGCGGACAGTTCCAGGCATATGTACTGATGTGAGCATCGATGCCCGGTTAGGTTTGTACTGCTAATACGTTTAGACTGACCAGCTTCAAGTTGTTTCACGCTGCGCGAGACATTCAGCATTGAGGCCATCATGGCCATTGGGGGTCCCTATAAGCGATCTTGGCGGGTTGGTCACGATTGAGATCCGGCCGAAGTATGAGCTTCCACAATTCACGCAATTTCTAGGGGGGCTTGTGATTCGACTTCTTGTGTCCAGCGAGGGTGGCAAGGATATTCTAGATGTGGAAACGTCCATCGAGCTATCACAGCGAATGCTAGCTGGATCAACTTGCCTTTTCCTTAACTCGGTGGAGATTCTACAAAGATGCACGCCGCTTGTACCTGTGCAAATAGCACCCTTCCCTGTTCTACGCACGAGCTTCCGGCAGGTCAGCTGGGAGAGAAGAATTTCACAGCCGGCGAAGATGGTGCTCAAAGCGACGGATCTTTCCGGCTCTGGCTTCCGCAGCGGTATGCCCCTCCCAGATGGCTTTCACAGCATGACGCCAGCCCAGCAGCTTGGGACCTGCGCGGAGGCCGCCGCGGATTCCAAGAGCCTCGCCAAGGCTTCCCTGACACCTGAGATCTCAGCAGAGATCGCCCCCAGCCAGTACAATGTGGTTCTGGCACCTCCGGATTTGGTCTATGTGGGTGCCATGTTCCTTATTAGAATCAAAGTGACCACAGCCAGTGGCGCACCTGCCCGCGACGTCCGCATCAGGGTTGGCATCAAGACGGTCTCGTCCACTTCGCCGAGCAGTACCTCGCCGGGGCTGTTGCAGTCGCTGGCCGCCAGTGGGAATTCCATCCAAGTTGTGTCGGACAGCAACGTCCAGCTGGACCCCTCCACCACCGTCAGGGTGAGCGACTCTGAGGGCGTGATTGGGTTTCCCCTTACGGTTGAGAGAGCCACGAGTGGCACCTATCAACTGCAATTCCAGCCCGACGTCCCCGATGCAAGGATTGTACTACAGACTAGCACCTTCAAGGTGGAGAATCCTATCATTGGCATCTCCTCTCCCGATTCCTGGGGGCAACTGGAGATCACAGAGTTTGGAAAGCCCTTCAGGGTGAATCGAGCTCCACGCTTTTGCATCAGCACTGCGACCAACGAGACCTTGCAGCAGTTGCAAGATGCAGGTGTGCGGTCCTCACTCACCCTGACGCTGAAGGGGGCGCCAGCCGAAAGGGAAGGCCGGGCGTCCCAGTTGGTGATGCAATTGAGGAAGCAGGCAGCCTCGGACGCGCAGGTGTCGGCCAACCGGATCCTGGAGCAATTCGCTCAAAACAAGAATGGTGCGTTGAACAGCGCAGCTAAGGCGTTGCTCAAGACCGCAAACAGCAAGGCAGTGGGAATCTTTGCTGGCTTCTCGGAGGAGTTCGCGGAAGCATGCTTCGAGACTCCGGCAAGGCAGCTGCTTGCCGGGGATCCAGCACTGGCTTCAAACCTCGGCAGCAACATCTCAGCCGCGGCAGCCGCTTGGAAGGTCAGAGAATGCCGCGCCGCGAGATCTGGGTTAAAAAAGGAGAAAACAAAACACACACAAAACGCCGCAGCAGTGGCTGGTTCGGGTAAATTAATTTCAGGTCTCGGAGCTTCGGAGCTTTGGCCTTCGGACTGAGGAGGGCCTCATTGCAGAGCAGTCGGCCAGCTTGGCAGAGGCCCTGGGGGTGGATCCGCAGGCCCTGGGCGCCACGCAGGCCTTGAATCAGTTCACAGACGTCCTGATGCCTCCCGGCCGCATTCCTGGTGCGAAATGGGCTCGGCTCCCTGTGTCTTCCTTTGGAAGCTAACAGCATGCCATGCATCGATGAATCGCAAGGCCGAACTTTTTGCTCAAGAAACTGGCGAATGAAAAGATTACAAGGGAGAGAGAGAGAGAGAGAGAGACAGAGAGAGAGACAGAGCGCATTGCAATGGTCACGTGGCTGGGTTGTTTGCAGTTCATGCCGATGGTTATGCAAATTGCCGCCAGCCATGGGTCGAATGCTTGCTTGCTTGCTTGCTTGCTTGCTTGCTTGCTTGCTTGCTTGCTTGCTTGCTTGCTTGCTTGCTTGCTTGCTTGCTTGCTTGCTTGCTTGCTTGCTTGCTTGCTTGCTTGCTTGCTTGCTTGCTTGCTTGCTTGCTTGCTTGCTTGCTTGCTTGCTTGCTTGCTTGCTTGCTTGCTTGCTTGCTTGCTTGCCTGCTGATATAGCACCTGTCCGAGGTGTTTGCTTACTCTGTTTATCATTTTAGATGGTCGGCCTTTACTAGAAACGACGAGTGTGAAAAGGCGTTTGGCATGTTGGTTTCCCATTTCCGCCTCGCCTTCTTTTAGGTGGGCAGTTTCCTTTCGGCCACATGGCTCCTTGAGGCCCCGCTGCGTGTATGTGTTAATGCGTGCCTAGAAGGCCGCCCTTGCTTTGGGCGCCCCGCCTTGCTCTTCTCCATAGACCAACCTAAGCCAACCCTAAACCGCCCCAAGCCAACCCTAAAGCAACCCTAGCCCCTAAGGCAACCCTAAACCTACACCGACCTTAAACCAACCTTAAACTCACTCTAAACCAAACCTAAGTCAGTCTGAAAACAACACTGAGCCAGCCCAAAGCCGATTCCAAGCCGACCTTAAGCCGCCCTAATTGCAAACGAAGCCAAACCGGCTTTTACCCAACCCTAAAAAAATCCTAGACCACCCTAAGCCACCCTAAGCCCACCTCAAAGCAAGCCTCGCCCCTAATCCCAAAGCCCTCCCTACCAGCCCGAGAACAACCCTGACCCTCCCAAACAAAAACCCTAAACCAATTTCAAACCCCGAAGCCCTTCACAGTAGTTAAACGAATTCCAAACCAACCCACCTTTACCCAACCCTAAGCCATCGTAGTGCTGCTAGATCAGAAAGGGCCATGGCTGTCCGCGCTCACAGGGAATCAAGGCAACCAGCAAGAGCCTCCCCCGGTGCACTTATTTCCCTTGGGTCTAGTCTTGTACTGACTGATGGTTGAGAGCTGCTCGCTGTTAGCTGTATGTGGACACGTTTCGACTGGGTGCATTTCTTTGCGGCGAAGAGGGTCCAAGAAGAGCGCTCAGATGGGTCGGTTGGCGCGCAGTGCATGTGCCGCGAGGCGCTGGAAGTGACGAATGCGTTGAGACACGGTCGCTCCCACTGCCGTGAGCCCTTTTGGTCTCACTGCTTGGACTATCGAGATGAGCTTATCCGAGTTCAGTGCGATCGGCGTGAGTCGGTGGCTGCCACACGTTTCCTGGGGGCCGCTTGCGTACGCCGCTCGTGCTGGCGCCTCTTCGTCCTCGCGTGGATCCGTTGACCTCTCTCTTTGGATGTGCTGTGTTGGTATTCTGCTCGTGCTTTCCTGCGGCGCTGGGTCAGCTCATTAGAATCATTAGCCGCCTTTGCGCAGGGAAGCAAGGTCGGTCTTGGCAGCCGCGCTTCGCAAGAAAATCCGTCAGATTTGGTTCGCTCTTGCCTGAGGCTGGGTGGCGCTATATTGTCTGTTGGGGACTGGTTGCCCTTTTGCGCGGGCGTCTGTCCAGCGTGCTATTCAGACGCTCCGACTTGAGGAGGGTGAGGGGGTCAGAACTGACCATGTCCTGGAGCCCGACGTCGCTTGGTGCAGAGCCATGAGCTGGCTAGCTGGCAAAACCCGATGTTGATGGTTTCCTCAACGTTTGGATCAGAAGTCTCGAGCGTGCAGTCGCCCCTCAGTGGTGCTGCAGAAGGCAGTTGGGCTGGCGTTTTTCACGGGCGTGGGCCGAGCTTATACCGTTCCACAAGCCAAAACATCGGCTCGCAACAAAACATGGCCCCCCCGAAGCTCGAGCAGACAGAGTTCCGAATAAGCCAAAATGCCAACAAGATGCCGCGAGCATCCAAGGAGCACGCCGACTTGAGGAAGCCTTGTGCAATGCGAACCTGGAGCTTCCCAGCCAGGCCCCGAACAAGGAGCAGGCTTCTACAAGCAAACAAACACCGCCATGCCCCGCAAACCCAAAGCGACAAGCATAATCAGGGAGCCTTCAAAGCCCGCAGGAGCACACAACTGCCTGAAGACAAGCGACCTGTGCCCCTGGCACAAAGGTCCAAAGAGGTGCGGACTGAGCGGCCGGTGAAGCCCGAACGTCGAGATTAAGGTCAGCAAGCGTTTCCAACCACTCTAGGCGCTGCGAGCAGATCCTGCAGCAAACAGCTCCAGACCTGTCACCTTGGGGTTCCCCCTTTTTTTGGGCTGGCCTGCTTGTGGCGTACCCGAGCTCCCGAAATGCGCGCAAACCTCGCTAGCTCCCAATGGGCAGTGTGGCCCGAAACGGAGGGGGCCTTTCGATTCAGCAGTTCTTGTTATAGCTTGTCTGCCTGCTGAAGTGACGGAGGGGCGGGGGGTGCACATGCCTGAGTCACGAACAAATCTTTGCCTGAGGGATTTCCCCCACTGCTCCCCGACGAGCAGGCTCCTGTAATCTCGCCCACATGTTTGGAGTTGGGGAATCTATCTCATTTAGACTTAGTCGAAGTCTGGGTCTTAAATGGCTTTCTACATATTTGGTTAAGGTTGCCATTCTTGATATCTTGGCAACTCCTGTGTCGTGCATTTCATTAGTGGGTTGGCTAGATTGGTTCACACACCTCCCAAGTTGCCGCTTCTTGTCCAGGTCAGCGGGTTCCAATTTGAAGCCTCCCAGCGACGTGGCTGTGAAAGGCAAGTGGGAATTGTCGCTCAACGACTTGGAGTACAAGGGCGGCTGTGAGTATGAGGCCACACCGGACATCGAGTTTGCCTTTGCTGAAAAAGTGAATTATGTGTTCTCCTTGTCGGTGAATGGTGTGGAAGGGGCCAACCTGCCAACATTCGGAGTGGTGTTGGCGCCCGCAGATCCGGTCGACTTGGCTTTCAATTGGCTTTGTTCCTCCATCGCTGCCATCCTGGGAATCATCCTCCTAACGACAAACGCTACGCTTCATCGCTGGCAGTGGTTTTTTGTTGCATTTGCGTGCACCCTTGCGGTGACTGTTGCATTGCCCTTCCTGACGCTGCACCACGATGCGCTGTATGGATATTGGCTCCATGCTGCCGTTGCCAACGTGATGCTCATCGCTGCCGCGCTCATTTATGGCTTCAGCACTGAGGTGATGAAACACAAGACCGGAAGCTTTGACAAGACGCGGGCAAACGTGTTTGAATCGTACACTAAGAGGAAGCTGCAGGCAGCACTTGGCTGGAAGGCGGAGCCTTTTGCTGCTAAGCAGTCGATCTTTTCTAAGATCAAGCGGGCATTCTTGCAACCCTTTGATGCGGAGGACGCGTTCTTCTATCCGACAGCATTCTTGATCGCCAACTTGCTGGCCTTCCTCTCCTTTCTTTATGTGCTGGCTCAGTCCCTCACATTGCTGCGCGACATTGAAAAGATGCTGCAACAAGTGCTCAATACAGCCATACAAAGATCCGTCAGCATGACATCAAGCGTTAACCAGGCATATGTGCAGGCAACTGGCTCTGACTTACCAGATAGCTGCTTGGATTCAACTTGATCTTACAATCACATGCTAGAAGCATTGTACTTGTTTGGCCTTTTCCAAGGCTCCACGGAGTTCATGTACGTGCAGATCGATCTTATGCGAGGATGGTTTCAAAAGCTCATCGACTCCATCGTCATTGGCTTTGCGTCAGGCATGGTGCTCCTTGAGTGCATTTTTCTGCAATGCGCGAAGAGGCAGTCTTGGTGTAAGTTTTTGGTTTGACAGCCTTGCAATGACTGCATGACAATGATTCACCCTGTTTGAGTAATTTGTACTGCGCCCAAATTTGGCAGGTGTTGTGATTGCTGCAATTTTGACAACGCTCTCCCTGCTTGGCGGATTCGTCCACTTCAGGGCGAGCGTCATGGATGCTCGCCGTGGCAAGTTCGATTTCAAGCTATCAGATGCGAAGCTCGTATTTTCCACCACCTTTATCGGTATCAACATCTCTTCAGCGATTGTATCATACATACTGATAGTTGCATTGGTGACCTTGATCACGATCCCGTTTACCTTTGAACTCACTTGGCAAGTGATTTGGAATGCATTGCCCACCATTCTCCTGACCTTTGTCCTGCCGAAAATCCTTACCATCATCAGCATGAAGATATTCAAGAAGTGCTTATATGGAGGCACATTCATCAAGACTCGCGCAGGCGCCTGGCGCGTTGGCGAATAACTGCTGACATAATCTTAAGCCTGCGCTTGCCGTCGATGGGCCTCGCCTGTCCAGGGGCTTCCATCTTTCATTTCTACATGACCTTCCTTTCGCTGCCTGGAGGCATGCGCCACCTTTGCTGAGCATGTGGACTGTGCGACTTGAACAGGTGTGGCTTCAGCAATTACGAGATTTGTGATGGGAGCCTTGGATGTAGAACTTGGAGGTTCAATGCGCGTGCATGGCGAGGGTGGTCAGGCAGAGAGAAGACAAGCAGTCGCATCATTTGCAATCAAGGTTTGCTCGGCACGATTGCGATGTTGCCAATCACCTACGGCCCGGTCACGCCCAGTATGGTCAACAAAGTTATGCTGTTGGATACGCCCTAGTCTCAGTTGTTCCAACTTCAGAGCTTGCGTTGCAGCTCACCCCGAGGTCATATCGCACTTACGTGGCTTTTGTCATGTGGCCTGCCTTGACAGTGTCTGCAATGAAGGGTAAGGAGATGTGAAGGGGTAAGTCATCCCTTTGAGGCTATATGCCACCCACAACAATCCGATCATGATCACTGCTGCCAACCGGCTGCTCATGATCAAATCGACCCGGGAGAAGTTCAAGGAGGAGCCAGAGACAACTTGGAATTTCGGCCTGGGATGAGAACAGGACGGACGCCACTGGACGTCCACTCACAGCATGCTATTGCTGATTCTGATCCGAGCCTTGGCACACGGTGAACATGTGAGAGTACCATTCGTTTTGCTGTTCAAATACTTCAGGATTTCCGCATCTCCGACAGAGTCTTGGATGAGATTGGCTTCTTGAATCCAGGATGCTCTGTGCAAACGCTTGTTCTTTTTGCAAGCTTTGACTGACCGGCACCGCTTAGAAGCAAGGTCTTGTTCGGCTTTGCGGAAAAATGGGTTTGCAGGTTTAATGCCTTTACAGGTGCAAGACAAGCCCGTCGTTTCAGTTGCACAGTAGCACGCTTGGTGCCAAGGTATCGCAAGAGCTATTTGGAAAAGGCCAGTGTCGCGAGTCCTCAAGCAAGTGAACCATGTGACTGTAAGCAAAGTCTAGCACACGCCGCTGGGGGCAAAATTGTTTCGTGTCGTGCCGCCTTGCATGCTACCTTTTGCTGTGTGACTTGCAGGAGCGCAAGCTGAAAGAAATACAGAAGGGGAGAAAGAAGCCGTCCAGCGAGGATGCTGTGAAGGTCAAGGTGGAGGCGTGGCCAGTTGTG